CCCCCCCCCCCCCCCCCCAAATACATGTTGTCACATGGATTATGTATTGTCTGAACGTAATAGTTGCACCAGTTTAACTATACCGGCAGTTAAAACTAGTGTGGATGCAGCTAGACCGGTATAAATTGGCTTACACCATATATAGTTTTATTCCCGTGTGGGAAGGGGAGTAAGCTATTTGTGTGTTGTTCATTGCAAAAGCAAAACTAGTTTCCAATGGAGAAATTTTCAGCTTGACATTTGGGCTAAGATTTTAAATAGTAACTGGTGATTTTTGGGTGCCTCAATTTTTGATTGCCCATACATTAAAATACATTAAAAGCTTCTGGATTTTTAGAAAGTGGTGAATATCCAGCTTCTGATAATCATTCCCCTTAAGATGTTTCAGACTGGTCCCAGAAACTGAGGCCCTCCAAAATCACTAGTGACTTTCAACCTTAGGTTATAAGTTTTGACATTATTTGCTGTAATATGGCTAAAATCCCACATAACTTGAAAAGATACCCCTTAGTTTTATAGTACACATACTATGTGAATGTATGCTCCTAATTCTCTATGCATATATGAAGTATAGTTGTGTGCTTTCTGACTTTGCGAAAATTAGTACATCCTTAAATGCTAGCCCTTTATATGCCTTTTATGTAAAATAGTTTTAATTCTATGCAAATTATTGCTACTGATTTTCTAAATATACTGTACAGCAATGTATTGGTATGTGAAAGGGTTTTATTTTACAGCTCTTTTTTCTTGGTCTTGTAGGCTGCAACGATGCTTTTGTAGAAGTGGGCATGCCAAGAAGTCCGTCACATTCAGCAAATGCCAGTGATCTGAAGCAAATGATGAGTTCTTCCAAACAGTCCTGTACTAAGAGGCAAACAGTAGAATTACTGCAAGGAACCAAAAACTCTCACTTACAGTATGTTACATTCATGAGTATAGAATCATAGAATTTAGAGATGAACTATAATATTTAGCATGTTCTTTGGGGGTGAGATGCGTGGTTCAGTCATTGATGAATATTGGAGAATTGGTTTAAATCAGACTAATTTTTCAACCATATTTAATTTAATAAACTACTGTTTGTTTTATAACAGTCCCTTTAAGTTGTTAATATTGTAAACATTTTTGACATCTAAGAATTCCTTCCTCTACATCTGCCTATCAGAAGTGCTTGCTTTCTCCAAGACTGGCTTCTCTGAGAAGTTTTTGTTACATATAGCTCTGTAATATTTTTTGTGTGTTTTGTAACACCAATAGATTTTCATAGCTAACTTTAATTTGCTGTGACAAATACTGTGCTTGAGATTTGTTTTCTTAGTGAAAAATAATCCTCAGGAAATACTGTTACATTTTCAAAGCTTGAATAAAGACAAAGTTTAAAAACAGAAAATTAGCAATGGAAAAAACCTTTTGAATAATTTTTTCAATGCAGGAGTATTCCTTAGTACCCGTATATTGTTTAGTGTTTTCTCCAGTGCAGTTTTAAATTACTTAAATGGGTTTTCCACCACTACTTCTTTAGAAACAAGGCATAACAGTTTTCACTGTTAGGAAATAATTAGGGCTGCTGATTAATCGCAGTTAACTCATGCGATTGACTCAAAACAATCGCAATTAAAAAAATGTATCGCAATTAATTGCACTGTTAAACAATAGAATACCAATTGACATTTATTAAATTTTTTGGATGTTTTTGTGCTTTTCAAATTGTATTGATTTCAATTACAACACAAATATAAAGTGTACAGTGCTAATTTTATATTGTTTTTATTACAAATATTTGCAAAAAATGATAAACAAAAGAAATAGTATTTTTCAATTCACCTTATACAAGTACAGTACTGTATTGCAAACTCTTTATCATGAAAGTGCAACTTATTAAATGTAGGGTTTTTTTTGTTACATTACTGCATTCAAAAACAAAGCAATGTGAAACTTAGCACATACAAGTCCACTCAGTCCTACTTCTTTTTCAGCCAATTGGTAAGAGAAACAAATTTGTTTAAATTTAGGGAAGATAATGCTGCCCACTTCTTAATAACAATGTCACCTGAAAGTGAGAACAGGTGTTCACATGGCACTGTTGTAGCTGGCATCGCAAGATATTTACGTGGCAGATGTGTTAATGATTTATATGCCTCTTCATGTTTCCGCCATTGTTCCAGAGGACATGCTTCCATGCTGATGATGCTCGTTAAAAAAAATAATGCATTAATTAAATTTCTGACTGAACTCCTCGGGGGAGAATTGTGTGTCTCCTGCTGTGTTTTACCTGCGTTCTGCCATATAGTTCAAGTTATAGCAGTCTCAGATGATGACCCAGCACATGTTGTTCATTTTAAGAACACTTTCACTGTAAATTTGACACAATGCAAAGAAGATTCCAATGTGAAATTTCTAAAGATAGCTACAGCACTTGACCCAAGATTTAAGAATCTGAAGTGCCTTCCAAAATCTGAGAGGCATGAGGTGTGGAACATGCTTTCAGAAGTCTTAAAAGAGCAACACTCTGATGCGGAAACTACAAAACCAAAACCACCAAAAAAGAAAATCAACCTTCTGCTGGTGGCATCTGAGTCAGATGATGAAAATGAACATACGTCAGTTCATTTGCTTTGGATAGTTATCAAACTCAACCCATCATCAGCATGGATGCATGTCCTCTGGAATGGTGGTTGAAGCATCAAGGGACATATGAATCTTTAGCACATCTGGCATGTAAATATCTTGCGACACCGGCTACAACAGTGCTATGTAAATGCCCTTTCTCCCTTTCAGGTGACATTGTAAACAGGAAGCGGGCAGCATTATCTCCTGCTAATTGTAACCAAAGTTGTTTGTCTGAATGATTGGCGGAACAAGAAGTAGGACTGATTGGACTTTTATGCTCCGAAGTTTTACATTGTTTTATTTTTGAATGCAGGATTTTTTTTGTACACAATTCTACATTTGTAAGTTCAGCTTTCATGATCAAGAGGTTGCCCTACAGTACTTGTATTTAGGTGAACTGAAAAATACTATTTCTTTTGTTTTTTACAGTGCAAATATTTGTAATAAAAATAAATATGAAATGAGCACTGTACACTTTGTATTCTAATTGAAATCAATATATTTGACAATGTAGAAAACATCCAAAAATATTTAAATAAATGATATTCTATTACTTTTTAACAGTCCGATTAATCACGATTAATTTTTTAAATCGCTTGACAGCCCTAGAAATAATTCCTTCATTCAGCCTGAATTTTATTATGCTCAGTTAGCTTATTTATTTTGATTTATAACAATGACAGTTGCCTCCACCCAGTAGTCTCAGTATATACATCTCATTCTAGTTACACAGCTTTGGAACTTCCTAGACAATTCCTGCTGATCAAATTCAAGTATCTAGACTTATTAATTTTAAATATAAATGCTTTTTTTTTTTTTAGTATTCAGAATTCAAGCAGTCTGTCCGGGGTACTTTCCTTATTAGGAATTCTTTAGAAATCTAAAATACAATTGCTTTTCAGGTTCCTCAAAGTAAGCGGACAACTATAGCTGAAGTTTGTAGAGAAAAGTTGATAATACCAGATGCTTTTGTAAGTAAGTGGGACTGAAGTTATAAAGAGGTGGCTTTCCCTTGCCTTGCTTCTGATCACAATTCACTTTATTGACCATAAAGTGCAAGGCATTTCAGTTTTCTGGGGAGAAGGGGGAACTTGGGGACATTTTCTAAGGCTTCATTTGAAAGTCTTTTTTTGCCTTAGAAAATGTTTCTTAGAAAGGTAACGTTTGTGTACTGTTTTTTCTTCAAATTTACTACCAACTTTCTAGAAAGGGTAGTTCATTTATTCATTGCACTGAATGTTCATTGTTTAAAACATGGAGTAGTGATTGAAACCATTACAGATAATTCTGAAGAACAACTGCCTTTACTTTTCCAGCACCACAGAGAGATTGCTTTCTGATACTGAGCTGAGTGCTTCTGAAAATCACGTTGCTGATAAAAAAGCTCCTGGTAGTGAACGAGCAGCAGAGAGGGCAGCAGCTGCTCAACAGAATTCTGAAAGAGTGCGCCTTGCTCCACAGTCGTCATATGTAAATATGCAGGTACCTGTCTCTACACCCAAATCTAGTGCATTGTTAGCATTGATAAATGTCCAGTGCAAATAATATGAAGTGACTGGCTTGGCCGGCTACATGACTTTTTTTCAATATTTGGATTGTAGACAAAAGCATCAAACAGTGTTATCACCTTCAATTTCCTCCCACAACATGGTGCATTTTCAAACTGGTAATGTAAAGCATAAATGAGCTTACATCTAATGTTAGATAAAGACAAATTAATCTGTATCTAGGAATATGAGAAGGTGCAGAAGTTGCATAGCTATCTTTCTTCTCTCCAAGCCTTCTCTCAGTTCTTTTAGGCTCAATCCAGTTGCCAGTTGATTATAAGAGGCATTGCCTGATAATAGCAAAAAACAATATGTGTATAAAATGTTTTTCAGGCTTTCTTTGTGAGGTTTCTAGGCTTTTTTTGGCTGTATGTGGATTTTAGATATTTTGTGACATGATTTGATGGCGAGAATTATGCAGCCTTCTCACATAGGCTATAAAATACATTTGTGACTTTTATAGAACTTTCCTATCTAGTTGGATTTATCCAATCACATCCTTGTATATGCACTCCAAAGAAAGTATTAGAGAGCAACAAAACCTGATATTCAAACAAAAAAAATACTCCTGAATATGCTTCTCAAAATTCTGATGAAAGAAAAGATAAATGGAATACAAATATAAGCAGGGAATAAACTTCATTTCATAGAAATATAGGTCTGGAAGAGACATCAAGAGGTCATCTAGTACATATCCCTTGCTGAGTAAGAATTAAGTATATGTAGACCATCTCTAAAGATGCTTGTCTAACCTGTTCTTACAAACTTCCAGTTACAGGGATCGTGCAAACTCCCAAAATAATTTGTTCCAATAATTGACTATCTTGATAGTTAGATTTTCCTAATACCTAAGCTAAATCTCTCTTGTTTACTGTGTGTGTGTGTGTGTGTGTGTGTGCGCGCACGCACATGTAAAAATGTTACGGCTTTGAGAAGAGACATGTTCATAGAAATGCTACTTGAGATTTTTCATAAGACATGTCAACATGCATTCGTCTCTTTGTCTGTTAGTGAAGTCCTGCCTGTGGATTAGGGTGTGTCTACACAGGGTCATTCACCAGCAGAGCTATATTGGTATAATTATACTGATATGCTAGTGTAACTCCCTGTGTGGACACACTCTTATTCCAGAATAAGAGTGCCTTTTTCCAGTTTAGTTTATTTCACTTTGAAAGTGATATAAGGGGGAAATGGAAAAAAGCTCTCTTATACCAGAATAAGTGTGTCCACACGGGTTATACTGGCATAAAGTTAGCAGTATAGTCATACCAGTATAGTTCTGCTGGTAAATTTATCACTATAGATGAGCCCTTTACATAGGCCCCTGTGGCAAATAGATAGTCAATCACTGGTTGAGGTTCAAAGCGTTCACCTTTACCATGACCAAAGTTCTAGTCTCCCAAGGGAAAAAAAAATATCTTCGGATCATTCCAAAGCCCTGCACAACATCAGATATCCCTTATACTAATCAGACTCTGCAAAATAATGCCTTTTTGTAATGCATATTTGTGTGAACAGATTTATGATCTATAATGGAAAGAACAAGTGTAATTTACTAAAGAATTGACATCCAAAAATTATATACATTTTTATTACTCTCATTGTGATGAGCAGTATAACATGTTTTCCTGTATTACATCAAGATACTTTTCTGAATAAAAGGATTTAAAATGAAGATGGAATCTAATCTGCAAAGGGTATAGTCCAGAGAACTGTGTGCAGAAAAATAATACTTAGTGTAGTTGTTTAATTATTTGTTTTCCTATTATAATTAGACTTGTTTCTTCTAGAGTTTTAAATACTTAGTCAACAGACAATTCAGAAAAAAAGGTCTCAAGTAATGCCTTGTAAAAACACTACCTATGCAGACTTCACATACTGCTACAACTTTCCTCACATGAAAGTGGGAGAGAATAATTAGCTAGTTTTGAATGAATGTTTTACGTATGTCAGGCTTTCATTGGACTACTGTTACATTGTTGTGCAGTGCTTACCATTCTTCCTAGATGAATCCATGGACCGTGATCAAAATTTTTGTTTTTAGAAAGAGTTGTTTACTGGAATGACATTTAGTTAGAGCAGCAATTAAGACATTTTGTGTCCCTTTAATTTTTAGGCATTTGACTATGAACAGAAGAAGCTATTAGCAACCAAAGGTATGTGAAGAAACAGTGACTTCTAACATGCATCTATTTGTCAGTATACTGGTCAAAGAATTTTTCTAAGGTTCAGCTTTGCAGTTTCTATATGTTTTTAGCTAAAATGAAAAGTTGATAAGTACAATGAACTCAATGTATTTATGTCAAATGTATTTTGGGGATATTTTGATACCAGTTCATAGAATATTATTAGTACAAATTCAAAGTTACATGGTAGATACATTATTAGTAGTACTGTACATAGACTGCTAGTAACACTGTGGATCTGAAACATTCTGGTACTTGTAATAACCTTGGGGATGAATTAGTATCAGACTAATTTTAACAAGCACATTGCACTCATTTGCCACTTCTGGAAAATGGTTGCTTTTTTCTTTAAACATCATGGCCCTGATTCTCTTCACTTCCTTCCGCACAGTGTTTACTATTCTCTAGCTTCAGTGGACTTACTCCTGTCTTACAGTGGTTTAAGAAAGGGTGGGAATCAGGCCCTGTTGGGGATCTGAGATGCTGGGAATGTACCGTTCTGTGGGTTAATGTGATCCATTTGTGTCGAGAATGTCAGTATTTGGCCTGAAAGATGCATTTATCTGTCAATACATGGAGCTTAATGCTTATAAAGGTCTTTTTCATTGTATTTTTAAGCGATGTTAAAGAAGCCTGTTGTAACAGAAGTGAGAACTCCAACGAATACATGGAGTGGCCTAGGATTCTCCAAATCTATGCCTGCAGAAACGATCAAGGAACTAAGAAGAGCTAATCATGTATCATACAAGCCATCTATGACAACCACGTATGAAGTATGTAAAATTACAGAACATTTTAAATATGTTTTCAGTAAATTGCATAGGCATTTCTTAAACATGAATGTTTATATGTTTGTAAAAGTCAGTCTTGTAAATGAGATTCTTAACGGCATTAGTGCTTGAAGATATTGCATAATCTCTTCCAGAAAAAAGCTCCTTGTATCTGGGCATACTGGGTATATCAAGTACATCCATAGAATAATGGGAATTCCATTGTTAATCTTCAGTTTTTAAAAAAATCTGTTCCCAACAATTGCTCTTCTGGAGCAAATTAAGAACAACACAGGAGTGGGATAATTTGGTTCAGTGCATCAGTAAAGGGAAACGGTATCTTACAATAGTCGTTGAAATCTAGCCTAGGTTGGTTGCTATGTTTCATGAGATGGAAAAAAAAGCCATCCCTTTAGTATGAAGGTAAATTGTAATAAGCTTGCTGCAGGTCATTAGAGTGACGTTTGTGAGTACAGTGGGTGCAGTTCACACTCCCTTTTGTCCCGGGAGTTGCTGCATTGGGATTCACTCCTGTGCAAGGAGAGTGGCACCTCATCCCTTAGGGACTCTGCTGAGAAAGAGCAGCTGTAAACTTCACAGAGGGCTTACTAGAAGGCCTAAGTCAGAGGCTGCACAGAGAAGGCCCTGTCCTCTGCTTAAACTCCATTATTTGTAATAATTCTGACATAGTTTTGCATTGCATTATGCTGTTGTAACTCTGTCAAGCCCCACCAAAGCCTACCTCCTCTTTATTTCCACCCTCATTCATGTTGTCCAAATTTTAGGTAGGTGGGCTTTTTGGGCAGGGACCTTGACTGACCTGGGTGGCACCTTCCTATACTACTTTGGGTGCAGTACACACGTTAAACCACAATAAAGGTGTGGCGTGGAGCTTCCCCTTTGGCATGCATAAAGTTAACATATGTCTTTCAGCTACATGTGGTAGGTTTGCAGTATTGAATGTGTAAGCCAGAAACATAGAAGAAAAATATGTAAAGCGAAACTCAAAGCCAATTTTCTGATAAAATATACTGCTAACATTACTTCTCGGCTATCAGACTGATTTGTCTTTGTATATTTGTTAATCTGTTTCCCATTTTCTCCAAACCGTTATACGCTCACTGTTTCTACAAGTTTATTAGCAGACACATTATTCCAGAAGAAAAAGGTTTTGTGCCTTAGTCACTTGGAGCCTGACCAGGCACAAACCACATCCTCAGTTCTTTCTACTGCTAAACTCTTATTTTTACAGTGACTCCAGTTCCCAGTTTGGTATGTGCTGTTATGCAAACATCTGGGGAAAATAAAAATCCTAGATCACTTGTAATATATTCCCTGCTTCCCTTTGGCAGTTTTCAAGACTTTGTTATTCATATCAGAAAGCACGGCTGGTCACTTTACCCCTTACATTTTCATTCTTGATGTGGCCCAGAAGGGATATGCTGAAGAACTGCTCTTCAGTAAATAGCAATTGTCTTGATATCCAGTGCTACCATTTGGGAAGTTCATTTGCAAACTAAGCTCACTGGGCAAATTTGTTTCTCCCTGTGATATTTAACTTTGTGTTTTATTTCCCAGCATTGCTAGCTCACATTTTATTGTATCACAACTTGTAATCACCACCTTGGTCAGACATATTGTAGATAGTCTTTTATTTTCTTTTAAAACAGACGTGGATTCTGTCCCTTCTTTCACTCCATATTCACCACACTGTCCACCAACCTAATTTGTCCACCTGAAAAATAGTTCTACTTTTCTTTCAAGTGATGGCAGTTATCCTCTGTCATTATAAATGTATCAAGGAACAGCTCTATTAAACTCCCGTGATCCTCTGTGCTGTTTGTTAGAAAGGGTTGGTGAAGCTGGTGGAACTAAGCAAAATAGTGCTAGTTTAGAAGGCTTACAGGAGACTGTACAATAGTAAAACGTAATTCCTGTCACTTCTACTCTTTTTGCTTTGGCCCTGTTCTCATCTACCGTTCCAATTAACTTATTCAATCATCACACTCTCTAATGTCTGAGAAACTCTATAAAAGATAAACTCAAGAGAGAAGGTTTTCATCTGGAGCTTTGTGGAAATGTATCCTTTTCCCCAGTCAGGCTTCACCCCATGCATACTTCATGTATACTGTGGCTGCTGTAAAACAAAACAAACACAAAAAAATCAATCTTTACCAGCCCTTATCCCATACAATTCTAGATACTGAAACAGGAATTAACTGCAGCATCTCAGATTCTAGTGTCTGGTTAATGTTGGTAATTTCTGACTTCTTAATGTAGACAATCAAATTTAATGTGTAGACTAATTGGTACTGCGGTAATCTGGGCTACTTGTATGTTACTTAGAGATGCTAGGTAGATAGCTGTGTGAGGAAGAGACCGTAGAAAAAATTTTGTGACAAAAGGTTAAGAATATAGAGCATTTTGATATGAAGCTAGTGTTTTTTTTAAAAAGTAACTTTTATAGATCTAGAACAGGGATAGCTCAATGGTTTGAGCATTGGCCTGCTAAACCCAGGGTTGTGAGTTCAATCCTTGAGGGGGCCACTTGGGGATCTGGGGCAAAATCAGTACTTGGTCCTGCTAGTGAAGGCAGGGGGCTGGACTTGATGACCTTTCAAGGTCCCTTTCAGTTCTAGGAGATAGGTTATCTTCATTAATTATTAAACTTATTACAAAAACAGCAGTTCTGTCAAATGCATAAATTGTAATAATTAGTTGGTTCATATTTAACTGCAGGCAGCATATTTAAAATTGTTGAAAAGCTGTCGTGTTAACTGGGCTGCTTCAGAGAAACGAACTGTCAAATCACAATGTAACACTTCTGTTTATGAAGTAATTTTCTTGTGGTTTCTTGCAGGGTTCATCGATGTCTCTCTCACGGTCCAGCAGTCGGGAACATTTGGGAAGTGGTAGTGAATCGGATAACTGGAGAGATCGAAATGGTATCGGTCCCTCAGTTCACAGTGAATTTGTCTCGTCAATTGGCAGCCCCAAGCGGAAACAAAACAAATCAAGTAAGTAATATCTTGTCAGTGCATTTCATCAGGGAATACAATTATGGGATTTGGAAGATTAAGTTTTTTGCTTTAATCCTGAGGTCCTGAATTTTTTAAAATAATAAGTATTTACTTTAAGGAATTGAAAATACTTAATTATGTTAAAGATTTTTTATGTTTGTAAAAGTACAAAGTAAATAAAAATCTGTATAATACTACATAAAATGTAAAAAAACAAAAAAACCAATTCAAATGTAAAACGTTTAAGGTAAATGATATAGTATAGCCTTTTTTTTTAAGCTCCCTGCTATCCTACTGTCTTTTCTGTGAAAGTTTCTATGAAAACAGAGTTTATAAGAGCTCATCCTTGGACGCTCATGATTCTGCTGTGTTATCCAGATACTGCAAAATACTAGCTGAATCTGATGGAGGCTTCCTGATGAAAGTTATGACTTCTTCCAGCTGCCACGCTTTTATGAATTTTAAGGCATATTATATTGATTTTTAAGTAGGGTCACCAATACATTTGGTAGGTCCTGGCAGATTACCTTGGACACCTGTTTCCTTGGATCCAACCTGCAAATATTACAAAGATTTTTTTAAACAGATTTTAAACCAGTTTTCTATGAAAATTGTTTTACACCCAAAAGCAGTTTGCAACTAGTCTGTCTTCTATGAATAGGTTGATTTTTTTTTTTTTGCCAGGAGGGAGGAAGGAGTGGTGCAAGAAAGTGAAGAATGGGAGATTTTGATTTATAATAAGTTTCATTACTGTTGGGGTCGGGGAGGATGAGGACAGAAATATTCTGCTGTTTTTTGTTTTAATTATTTTTTGTATTATGGTTTTCCTGAATCAGTGCTAAAAGGCCTAAATGCCAGGTTTATTTGATAATACATTCAGTAAGAATTGCACATTTTTAGAGAAAATAGTTTAACTTAAAGAAGGAAATGTTGTTGCTCTTTCCTAGCATTTGTAATCATTTACATGGTATTAACACAGTGATGAATTACTGCATATGGTATTTCTACAGTGAACATAATAAAAATGAGCTTCATAGTCTATCTTCAGTATCAAGCTCACCTGGTGTCTTGAAGTCAGTTGTTTACACAGGGAGGTCCTAGTGTAATCAGAATGATAAAATAAATGCATTTTAATCCTTTCTTAAACTTTAAGACACTAACCTTTAAGTCTAAAAGCTGCTCAGTCCATAGAAGCCATAGCTCCTTTCTCAGAGCCTGAAACATCTGCAAAAATGTACTTTTTGTTTTGATTTAAAAAAATATCCTTTCTTCCCCACACTTGGCTGATAAGCCTTTTATGGTCAATAGGTGACGAAAAGGGTACAATAACTGTGTGTACTTGATTGTGCTGTTTGAGATCTACAAACTTGAAGTGTAATTTTAATTCCTCACTTTTACTGGTAGAATTTAAGAATTTTGACACATTGTACAAATCTTCTTCAAAAACTTGGGCCCATCTAGTAAAATTATCTAAGGTTCCAACTTACCTTTTCTAAAATACATTCACAATTCAGTAGATAAGAAAACAAAGAATCACTGAGCGCTAAAGCGTTCTACTTTTTATAGCCAGGTAAGTCTTCAGGAGGCAGCAGCCAGTCTAGCTGAGGGAGTCATTTCATTTCGCTCTCCTCACTCTGACATCAGCCCTGGGGGCAGGGCCTATGGCCTCCGGAGATAACAGCTCAGTGAAATTAATGGCATATAAAAATAACTATGGTAATGCAAGGGGATGTGATTGCACACTTTGCCTGTGAGCTAAACTGCTATGTGCTAGGGTGTGCATCACGTGGATCCAGCTCCTTTGTTACAGGCAACACTGGTACTAATGGACCTTGTTTTCAATTGTTTATAACTTAGCCAAATTTAAATTGTTCTGGCTGAAATTCTCCATGTCGGGTGTCTGCCTCAGGAGCTGTAGGAAGTGAGAGATTAAAAGAGGCAGGAGCATAGGGGATGAATAGAGGCAGGAGCCAAGTTGGTGCAGGGGAGGGGATAGAAGCTGTAAGCGGAGACAGGATAGTGGGGGCCATGGACAGGAGCAGGGTGTGGAAGAAGCAGTAGGTAAGGAAGTAAGAGCAGAAGAGAAGCAGGAAGGTACTGCAAGGCCTGGGCAGAAGGATCTATAATTACTAATATATTCCATACAGAACTTACAATTGACCACAGGATTCTTGAGTCTCATTATTCCTCTGCTATCTAGCAAATAGCTGTGAAAGCCACTGGCAATGTGTCTCATCGCCCTCTAGTAGGAGGCCCACATAGAAGATAACAGCCTTCTACTGCTTCCTGTTACACTTATCAGCTCAAGTGGTAGAGGACTATGCTGTGGGTCTCCCTGCTCATGACCCATATGGGGGTCAATATAGTTCCACGTGATGGAATTTTTATTACACGTTATGTTCAGAACGCAGCTCCAATCAACTTTAGTTGCAGTTACGAGTGCTCAGCATGTCTGCAAATCAGATTTCAGGTGTCTCAGATTGGATAGCCAGAAAATGAGAGAGACAAAGTGGCAATGTAAAAATTCTGGTTTACATGACTTGCCCAATTTTCTGCATGTGGTCATTTTGTCTTTATCATTTTCTGGGTATCGAGTTTGAGACATCTGGGGCTCTGATTTGCAGAAGTGCTGAGCTAAAGTTGATGGGAGCTGTGTTTTGAACATTTAAAGTACTATAAATTGTGCTGAAAAATCAGGCACTAGGCTTCTCAAATTGGGCACGCAAATATAGTTGACACTTTGGGTCTTCATCGCCTGTTTCTTGTGTGTAAAATGAGAATAATATAACCACCTCCTCTCTCAGGGTAATGTCTGTAAAGCACTAAGATGCTACAATGAAGCCATCATAGAAAAGCCCAGGTAGAAATTAATAATTCCGCATTTAGTGCAGGATTTGGATGGTGTGCAGTAAATAACTATACACCGTGAGACCACATGCTGAATAATGAGTGCAAAAAGAAATATTGAAAAGCTGACCATTCTGTGCACCGAGTAGAAAAAATGGCATGTTAACGTGTAAAGACTATATCATAATTCATGTACACAAAGGGGACCAAATTAAGTTTGTACAACTGTAATTGTGGTATTTACTAAGTTTTCAGTGCTTGACTTGGCAACCTTCATGGATTTTTAACGTAGTTTTGGGGAATGTGATATTTATTCAGGTAGTCCAAATATTCCCAGATCTACTATTTTAACAAACAAACAAAAAGTGGCGTAGTTGCTAGATTACCTGGCTATCTTTCGCAGAAGAAACTCCAGGATTCCATCCCCAATGAAACCTAAAGGAGCTGCTTACATTTGTATGGGGGGCTGTGGAGACAGGGAAGAGGTTCATGTGCAGTTGTCTTCTCCAGCATTGGATAGACTGGGGGAGGGGAATAGAGACCTGATTCTCTCTCCGCCTTTATGTATATTAAGCTCTGAGCCCCATCCCCATTAAAGTTAATTAAGGTACAGCCTTAAATACAGCTTAATCCTTAAAGGTGCTTTAAAATACATTCCTGTGTCCTTTTCATTCTCCTTCATGCCCTAATCAATAATAACAAGGTATATTCTGAAAATGGCCACTAGAGTTTAATTAACAAAAAGTTCATTTGAAATTCAGCTGGTTTCTACAGATTGCTGTTCTACTAAACAACTGAATGGAATATTCCACCTAACAATAGAATTTGAGGTAATTTGGCGATTAAAACATGCTGTTTGAAGTGATTGAAACGTCAAGTGTACATCCTTTTTGCCTTTCAGCTGAACATTATCTCAGCAGCAGTAATTACATGGATTGCATTTCCTCGCTGACAGGAAGCAATGGCTGTAACCTGAACAGTTTGTTTAAGGGGTCTGATCTGCCTGAGCTGTTCAGTAAACTCGGTTTGGGCAAATACACTGATGTATTCCAACAACAAGAGGTCAGTCTTTTTAAGAGGCATTTTACAACCCTTTGTGTACTTCCTGAATGAAATCACTGTCTCTTCTAGCTGCAGTATTTTCACTGACAATTCTATCAAAGCTATTCAGTCCTTCAATTTAGAAATGACCATTCTCAATCCTTAGTAGACCTAACTAAACAGGTTTCCACTAAATTATCTTGACATATTAATAACATTGAACTTAAGCATGGTATTTGTTAATAAAGATATTTGTGCACACACAAGATGTGTTGTGAAAGGCTATGTCCTTGAATTCACTTAAAGGGGGCACTCACCCATGGTCTGCTAGCCCACATTCTGTTGTGATTTATTGCTATTAATATTAATAATTATGTTTGAAATAAACTTTCCTTCTATAGAGATCGATGATTGGATCTGAGATTCCCATTTACATTTACAGTAATTTGGGAAAATAGACTCTTATGTGTGCAATTAAGTATCATTTAATCAACATAATCTTACATGCTTCTGTAAAAATGATACCTTTACTTTTTAGTCTCTATTTGTTTTAAACACATAGTACTAAAACAAGCAGTTAACTGTGTAGTCAAGGGTTGCTGCATATATGACATTTCTGATGTCTATTTCCCTTTTTCCTCATTTTTCTGACATTTTAATTTTAACCAACTGTCATTGATTGGAATTTGGTAATTGTTGGTGTTATAGGCATAATAAAATGAGTTTGTAGAATAAATGTAAAGAAAAAAGTTAAAGGTAACTTTTTTTTTTTTTAGAAGCTGTCAGCACCACACTTATGGCTAATAGTTTGTGGGGAGTAATTCTCAATACAGGAAGAAAATGGTTTCCTATAGACTGTGGATTTGTATGTTGTGTAAATTACCCATTTTAATTTGCTTTGTTTTTGTTCATAGATTGACCTTCAGACCTTCCTTACTCTCACAGATCAAGATTTGAAAGAGCTAGGAATTACTACTTTTGGTGCCAGACGGAAAATGCTGCTTGCAATCTCAGGTGAATAAAAAGCATTTAACATATACATGATTATAAATGTCATGATTTAAAAATATACTGTACTTTTTCCCTTGCTCAGTTGAATTGTTTTGGTTTGCATAGTCATTAGAGCAGCTCAAAGGAACTGTATCGGACAGACAATCTGACCCACAGAGAGCATATCTTACCAGCCACTCCTTGTAATAAAAAGGCAGTTTTTAAATTTTGAGACACTGTAAGGACTGTATAGCTTCCACACAACAAATGGGATTCTAGCTGCATAGTGTTGTATTGTACTATTAAAATTAGAGCTGAGCAGAGAAAGGCAATTCCATTTTGCAACGGTTTTCAAAGAAAAATTTCAAAATTCCCTGTAAAAGGGAATAGAGCTTGGGGACACTGACTCCAAGACAGTCCGTCTGGCACACTGTCCTGAACCTGGGGCTCCTGGGAACTCTGCTTACCAAGCAGCAGTAAGATTGAGAGCCAAGACTTCCATGCTCTCATCTCTCTATCAGCTCACCAGGCTGGCTGCTTAGGAGCCAGGAAAGTGAGCTGGTTGGTAAACAGGCAGGTATGCGATGGAAACCTGCCTGACAGGCCTGTCCTAATGTCTGTAGGAACTTCAGCTGAGTTGAACAATCTGTGCGAAACATTTCCGTTTCAACAAATGGACAAATTCTGATGAAAAAATGGTTTGTCGGATTTTTTTTTCCTACCAGCTGTAATTAAAATGTCTTATATCTTACTACAATAAAGGAAAATCAAAGTACCACTCTTGAAGATACACAACAGGATAGCAGTGACCAACTTGAACTTGTTCAAGGGACTGGAATGGCATAAGATTTCATTTCATATTTTGCATAGAATTATGTTTGAGATTCCTGTTTTCCTTGGCGGTGAATCTTTTTTACATTCAAGATTGTAAGCTTTCTTCTGATATTTTGTGGAGCATGACAGATTTTTTTTTTTAATTTGCTGATGTCATTCATGAATGCATTTCAAATTATGGCTTAAAGAGGGTAAATGAATAATGTATTCAGATGAACAGTAGAACTCATCAAAAGTGTGTCTGAATCACTGGCAGCAAAGATTATACCTGTAATGGAGAAAATTGTTCACTATAACAAGGGACTGGAAAAAGTACTTTGTATGAGTGATGACTCTACTGAGAAGTTTATACATAGATCTGAATAATGGCCCCTATATTGGAGGTGGCAGGTCCTTATTATAAAAACATTACTAATGTGTTAAAAAATAACCAATGTGCTTTGGGGAAATAATTTTTTTCCAACTTCAGTTATTTATAGTTAGTATACAACATGCTCTGTTACATCAGATTATATAATGTGCACAGTGCTGCTCAGTATGTGATGTGCACATAATGCATTCCTTTCTGTGAAGAATTTGCAGGCTTTGAACAGGATTTTTTAAGCACTCCAGCTGCGATCATTTCATCACTTTTAGGATGGTTTTGCCTTTTTGTTTAGAATTTATGTACAAATGATTTTGGCAAAATATTATCTCTCGAGGCATTATGTTGAATCCTAGAAACCCCTCAAATAAGAGGATTAATTTCAAACTTCACCTGCCCGGAAATAAATATGGCCCTCCGCTGCATCAAAGTACTAGCGTGGCACCATCATTGAATTCAGAATTCCAGCAAATTATGACAATTACCCTGTGTTTCGCCTGAACAATAATTCTTGATAGCATTTCACGGCATTCTTAGTGTCCTGACCAAATACCAACTCGGGTAATGTCTGTTTCTCTAAACTCCCTTTGCAGTTTTCAGTTGGAGCTATGGTTCCCCACTTCTAATGTTATAATGAAATTGCATTATTTAGAGTAGTTTTGCTCCTGAATCAGCTCCCAATATTAAAATCCAAATGTGCTGTTTTCCATGTAGAACTGAATAAAAACCGAAGAAAGCTATTTGATCCATCAAATGTACGTGCCTCATTCCTGGAAGGTGGAGCTAGTGGAAGACTGCCACGTCAGTATCACTCGGACATTGCTAGTGTCAGTGGTCGCTGGTAGCACTACATTGTGGCTCACAAAGTGAATTGTAAAGATGGACTTGCCAATCCTGTGGACAGCTTTCACTGCACACCACCCTCTGCACTTTGGGAGTTTGGGTATCAAGGACCAAAGCATTTTGTCTGCACAAGTTACTTGTGCCAAAAAAAAAAAAAAAGAAGAGAGCGCGAGAGAGAGAGAAGACACTTGTCTGTCATTTTTCAGAACACCAAATGTGGATTATGTTTTACTCTTGTAGATTGGACAGCATTTGCAATAATAATAATAATAATATAGGGTTCTTTGTTTAGTATTTTATTACCTATAACTATAATGTATGCACTGAATTTTTACTTTGTTGAATGAAGGAAAAATGAAGAGCTGGGATGCCAGAGAGCTTAACTTTTGGTTTTATCAAGATGGAATTTTCTGGTACTGCTTAAAATAATTATTGAGGTCTTTCTGCACTTTACATGTTCTGTTTTCTTATCCTGTGGGAATTATTTTTCTCTTTCATTTCCATATAAAATATTGTATTGGCACTAATCAAATTTTATCAGGTGATCCTGCAATAGTCAAATCTCCTCACTATAATGGTACTAGGAATCAGTCTTTATGTAGATTTTTTTATATATATATAAATATCTGAGGAAAAGTTGCAAAATCAAACCACTTGCAAGTGGACCAGTCCTATTATCTCTTTATGAAGCAGCCTAGATCTGCTTACAATGAAACTAGTTCACTGTAACAGATGCAATGAAAGACCAAAATGGACCTTGCAATATTAACCCTTTGCAGTTGTCATATTTAACTGCTGCCTGTAATGCTAAAACTGATTTTAATGGTTCTTTCAAATCAAAGGCCTATTTTTAGTATACTGCCACTAAAGGACATCTATTTATATAAAACTTTTCTTTTTAGATTCTATACACCTTACAATATGCATCAGTTTAAATTGAGATCTACTAAATATTTATGGTAGAAAATGAAAGGCATTCATCAAACTAGAGCTTTGGGCCACCAGTTTGATTAAACAGACAACTAATCTAATTTGACAAGACAGCACTGTTGCCATTTATTATGTGAAGCATATTACTTACATGACTATGCATGCAGCAATTAAGCAACATACATGAAATAGCTGTAATAGCATCTCTTTTGTTTAATTTAGATTTGTGATTGTCAGCTATGGAAGTGTTTAAAACTCCAAGATGAACTATTTTTGAAAGAAGTTATATTCAACAAAGAGTCCATGTTATAAATGGCTAGAGCTAACTATTGCATTCTCATACTGTGAAAGTCCAAAAAATCTGGCAATACTATTTCTGTGTCTTTTCAGATGTCTTGTTATGGATTGATGAAGGGTTCTCATGTAATGAAGGAAATCATAAAGTGCCTCTTTTTCTGCAATGAAATATGAAGTTTCCAAACATTAATTTGTTGAAAAGCATTCCCCTAGGAAATATTGTGACTTACTTGTACTGTAATGTATTATTTATGTTCAGTGTACAAGCCTTTTAAGATGGACATAAACCACTGTCAAGTGCTCTTAACAGAAGACATTAGAATAACCATTTACAGTAGTTGGTTTTTATGCAAAAATGGGGTGAGAAATAGTTTTGACACTTTCTGTGTATACATCTTCTAAGGTGAGAAAAAAAATCAGTTTATGAGAAATTTGCACACAAAGGGAATTTTTAAGAGGTAATTGCTTTGAGGACTTAGATGATGAAGCAGTAATAAAATGACCTGTTGCAATTAGCAAAAATTAACTGCTCAGTATGGGGTTCAGCCATATCCACTTAATGGTGTATAGTGAAATAACTTTCACTGCAAATAAAATAACAGCTAACTCTTTCAGTGTTTAATGTTGCAGGACAATGCAGTTTGCAAGCACAGAGCTGTAAGCAACAAAGTTGTGCCCAAAGTCTATGAACATATCGGATACTTGCGTATAATTCAGGCACGCTCAACTTTATCAAACAACTATGAGAGCTTAAAACGCTGATCCTGGAAATAATTACTCTTCTGCTTATTTTTATACTTGTGAGTAGTCCCATTGACATGAGACTACTTACTTGTTCAAAGTTGAGCACTTGTGGGCTTGCAAGACCTAGGTTTGAAAATCAAGTCTTATATGAACTTGTGTGTTTAGTTTTACATAATATTTTAAAATTAGATTAAATCTTTAGCAAATCCACTTAGACATTTGCCTACTTAGTTTGTGTAATTTTTTTTAAGTTTCAACATTTTACTTCAGCAAAAACTCCACATGTCACTTTCTTTCATTTTTTTCATAAATACATAACATGCGGTTTGACAGTATTATATCTGGAAGCTGAAATTCTTACAATATTAAGTTGATGTGGTCTTTTGCTGAGCAGTGCTTATATCATCTATTACCAAAGTGAAGAATTTCCCAGTAATAACATTATTTTCAGTAGGGCTGCACACACAAAAAAACACACACTGGAAAACATTTTTCTCACTTCTTTTAATTTCATGAAGGGAATATGACAATGCAATATACAGTGTTGTCAATGTTGTATTATGCACAAAATATTTGACTTGCTAGATTAAAATGTTAGTTTTAAATCTGTGCCTTAATAGTGACCAGTTATCTGTAAATATAGAGCAGATACAGATTGTATTTTTTGTGGGTTGTCCTTTTAGTGATTTTTTTTAAATGAAAGGTGGAATTAAAAGTATTAAAAATGGGAATTTTTTCAAAACTAATCAATTGTTACATGGAAAAAAATAAATGTATGTAACCCCCTGGTATTCTGTTTGGTAAGTTAAATGGTTTTTATTTAGACCCGGGTCCAGCTGAATTTTAGATCTAGTCGCCAGGATTGTTCACTTGTTTCTACATTATGGCCCTTGTAGTATCCCTGACAATGAAGAAGAGACAGGACTCGGGTAGTAAGCAGAAGGTATTCTTTATTTGGGATGCTAGACACAACCATTGTAGCTCTCTCTAGCTTGCAGACTTAGGAATATAGCCTTGTTCTGCAGTGTGTTAGTACACAGGTGCCGCTAAGCCTTCGCTCAGATTTGACAAGCATGGAACACATTACTGACTATGCTGCAGTCCTGACTAGGGTTGCTCTTGTCTTTTGAATTGTTTAATTATATTAAGAGAAATTAGCCATGAGGCACATACTAACACCTTTATTATAATATGTAATTTAGATATGTTTTAATAACCTATGTCTCAATCCCAATGACACCCTCTGCAGAATGCACAGGTCCCCAGTGCCCAGACATGATGCAGCCCTACTATGGATTGCTAATAGTACAGAATCTTCTGCACACCCTACACATCAGAGTTAATTTAACCTTCCATTCCTCATCTAATTTCTTTGAATCCTTGACCCTGGATATGGTTTTACTACAGTAAAGTCAACACCTTTCAGATATTATATTAATACCCCTTAGTGGTACTTTCTAAAATAGGTGTAAGAGGTTACATATATTTGTGTGTAGAGATGCATAAATTGTGTGTATATGTGCATATATATATGTTTAATGTAAAACTTTTGAAAAGGTGCCTACATAATAGAACTTGGGATTCCTTTGGGGAGGTGCTTCCAGTGCTCTCGACTCAAGAAATAACCTAGGACATGGGTCATAATATATTAAATATGAAAAGCTTCCTTCAGTGATGAACATTTTTATCATCAGTTTCTACAATGTAAATACAAAACAGTTATCATGAAAAATCTGTATGAATTCCTTATTGGATCTATTTCGAAACTAGCTTGTGCACAAGATGCTGTGAACATCTATAAATATGTTCCTTCAGCTTTCTGACTTTCTCCATCATTAAGCTGGGGGAATTTGGACAAAAGTTGGACAGCCCTTGGAAAATTTTCAAAAGGAGTTCTCTTGGAATGCTTTGAACTCCAAAAATGTGGAATGAATTTATTCCATACTATTCAGATAGTTAAATCCATACCCCAGAGTCAATGGTATAAATTCAGGGATGAACATTTTTGTCTTTATCAAAAACAAAAGTGGTGGTTAAAGCCCTTTAACTTCATAACTCAGTTCAGACTTAACCATGCTGCTGCTATTGGGATCTCCTCAACACAGATAAAGCTCATTTGGTTTTTTAAATTGTCTCTTTAGAGAGAACCAGCCTTCTGTTGAACAAACTATTGCATTAGAAATACCAGTCAGTACTATGTATTTTAAAGAAAAAGAAACTTACCATTGCAGAAATTATGCAAGTCATGTCTTGTCAATGAGGTGGCAAAATTTGCAGATGATACAAAACTACTCAAGATCGTTAAGTCCAAAGTAAATTGTGAAGTTACAAAGGGATCTCAGAAAACCGGGTGACTGGGCAACAAAATGGCAGATGAAATTTTATGTTGATAAATGCAAAGTAATGCACATTGGAAAACATCCCAACTCTACATATGAAATGATGGGGTCTAAATTAGTTGTTACAACTCAAGAAAGAGATCTTGGAGTCATTGTGGATAGTTCTCTGAAAACATTTACTCAGTCAAAAAAGCTAACAGAATGTTGGGAATCATTAAGAAAGGGATAGATAATGAGACAGAAAATATCATAATGCCTCTTTATAAATCCATGGTGCACCCACATCTTGAATACTGCATGCAGATCTGATCGCCCCAAGCTCAAAAAAGATATACACCTCTACCCCGATATAACGTGACCCAATATAACACAAATTCGGATATAACTGGGTAAAGCAGTGCTCCGGGGGGCGGGGCTACGCACTCCGGGGATCAAAGCAAGTTCGATATAACGCGGTTTCACCTATAATGCGGTAAGACTTTTTGGCTCCCGAGGACAGCATTATATAGGGGTAGAGATGTATTGGGATTAGAAAAGGTACAGAAAAGGGCAACAAAAATGATTAGCTTCCATATGAGGAGAGATTAATAAGGCTGGGACTTTTAATCATGGAAAAGAGATGATTAAGGGGGGGATATGATAGAGGTCTATAAAACCATGACTGGTGTGGAGAAAGTGAATAAAGAAGTGTTATTTACTTCTTCACATAACACAAGAACTAGGGGTCACCCAATGAAATTAATAGGCAGCAGATTTAAAACAAAAGGAAGTATTTCTTCACCCAATGCACAGTCAACCTGTGGAACTCTGTCAGAGGATGTTGTGAAGGCCATGACTATAACAGGGTTCAAAAGGAACTAGCTACATTCATGGAGGATGAGTCCATCAATGGCTATTAGCCAGGATGGGCAAGGATGCAAAACTATGCTCTGAAGTGTCCCTAGCCTCTGATTGCTAGAATGGGCAACGGGATGGATCATTCTCTCTGAAGCACCTGGCATTGGCCACTGTTCAGAGACAGGACACTGGGCTTAGATGGACCATTGATCTGACCAAGTTTGGCCATTCTTATGTTTCCTTAGGTATGCACCTATTGGAATAATGCTATTGTATTTTTAAGGTACAACATTTTCACCCGTCATTCATGGATTTAAATGTAAGTGTAAGTGGTCACCGTAATCCTGAATTGATGCACAATAAATGTGTTTATATATGGGGAAGTCAATTATCTATTGGCTTGTCTTCATGGGGACATTCTGGAAAATTAATCCAAATTACCTAAATGTGTGAATTTAAAGTGAGTTCAAAATTAAAGTGAATTTAATTCAATTTAGCCAATTAAGGTTAAATCAAATTAAGGCCACACTTCTAAATGAGTGTGTCCCACACGGGTTTACTGCAATTAAACTTATTCACTTTAAAATCACACTTTTAGATCATTTGGATTAATTTTCTTGAGTGTCCCTGTATAGACAAAACTTTAATTTCTTTAGATGTACTTTAGACAGATCTTTCACATGTGCATTTTGGACAAAATCTTTTCCCCTCTGAAGTTTTTGGGAGTTTTGCCATAGACTTCAGTAGGACCAGGATTTGTCCCATAATGTACTTTTCATCTGATACATTTTCTTGCCAAGCTTGTAGTCACTAAATTCTGAACAGCTGTATAGATTCTTAGTGTACCAAGTTCTATGTGCACAAGGACCTCAAACTCTATACATTTCATTTATTTATGCTTTTTCACAATTGGAAAATATAAATGTAAGGTTTTGTGCCTAACTTTTATTTTATGTATGGTGCCTCTGATAATTGGTGCATGTGTAGTCGGGGTTTTTTTACAAAGAGAACATTTTCTTTGCAGTCAAGATGGCGGACTATAGAGTGTTATGGCAGGAAAATTTTGTATAACAAATTAATTTTGCAAAGCCTTGGAAAAATTCCCACTGTTATTTTTGCTACTGCAAGGTTAATCCATGCCACTTCCATTTGATATTCTCTTTTATGAGGGGTTTAGAATGTAGCTACACCTCTACCCCGATATAACGCTGTTCTCAGGAGCCAAAAAATCTTACCGCATTATAGGTGAAGCCGCGTTATATCGAACTTGCTTTGATCCGCCGGAGTGCGCAGCCCCACCCCCCCAGAGCACTGCTTTACTGCGTTATATCCGAATTCGTGTTATATTGGGTCGCGTTATATCGGGGTAGAGGTGTATTTGAATTTGCTTAGGGCTGAAACTATTTTTATTCTTTATTGTAGCACTTTGTTAATAATGAAATCATGCTCCAGTATCTATACAAAGGAGAATAAATAATTTTATAGTAGCAACACAAGCCACAACTAGCTTGTCACTTGGATCCAAAGGGAATGAAAGGAAGTTGACAGCTATAACAAGGATACACAGAAAGACAGATTTGCTAGTGTGGATCAAATATACGAACACTATTAAATTGCTGTAACTAAGCTTCAAAATCTGCTAGAGAAGGTAAGAATATCCAAATAATCAGAGAAGTGAAGCTAAGTAAAACACTTGCAGATAGTGTCCAGTGCAGGTAAGGGATTTTTAAAGCAGCTGTTTTCCGAGGTAACCATGAGCACGGGATGCGGGAGGTTTCTGGCATTGACTCTGCTGGTTTGCCGAGCAGGGCAAGTCCTAAGTCTAGCCCAGGCTGAAGCACCCCTTGTCTGTATCCTCTTTCATCCTCACAGTGGGAGAGTGGTTGCATTCAGTTGGATCCCGTAGACCAGATTTATGGGTTTAGGCTAAGGTCAGCCAACTTCCTTTCCCATTGCTAGTTTGACTTGAGGCTGGTTTTCCCTGCAGTAGACTCATAATGCCTGGTAGTTTTGGAGAGGGAGTTGCTGCCATCACTTGATATAAAGTGGCAGCCTGCGGCTTATATCCATCCTCTTTTTAGTGTTTCATTCTCTTTTATAATGAAGAGGGGATCAGTTATAGCATAGGACTCCGTAAATCAGTTTATCCAGTTACCTTCCAACTTTAAATTAAAATAAAAATCTTCTCTAATGAGGGCATACACGTGAGCAGTCTGGTGTAGAAAAAGTTTAAGAGCTTGAGAATCAGATGAATAACAAACTGTTTTAAAACCTCAACTAAGCAGTCGCTATCTATTGAGGTCCTTCATCACTAGTATCTGAACATCTCCCAGGCATTAATGGATTTTATCCTCACAACAATCCTATTATCTCCATTTTATAGATTGGGATCTGAAGCACAGTATAGATTATGACTTGCCTGAGGTCACATAGGAAATCCATGTCTCAGCCAGTCCCAGGCCAGTGTTCTAATAATTAGTCCTTCCTGTCATCTCTTCATAATATACACTAAGACTGTGTATTGCTGTTAGCTCCTGGGTTAGTCCAGAGTGCCTCTGTTCTGTCAGCTTGGAAGAGCAGCTGGGAAACTCCAGCTACTAATTCCCAGATTTGAT